AGGGAGGATGGGTTTTTAATTCTCTAATTTTCTCCAAATACAATAATAAATAATAAAAGAAATAAATACTAAAAGAAAAATCAAAAACTCACTTTAAAAAAAACAAACTAGTTTGACCAAACTTTCCCAAATGCCCTATCAGACAGTTCCATGAGCGTGAATAACACAAGCAGCAATGTGTGGTGAGCATGTGTTTTCCGAACACTGCGTGACCATCCCAGGTCACCCTTCCCTTAAGGTAGCACCAAGAACCTTTGCCCATCCACTTCCCCAGCCTGATCTCCTAGGCCGACTCCCACCTCCAGCGCTCTTCTGTCTTTTATTCCTTCTGTGTAAGCCTTGGTCCTTAGCTCTCGCTCTCACTCTCACTCTCGTTCACACTTGTCAAACCTCCTGTGACTTCAGCATGAACTGCTAGCCTAGCAACTAGTTGTCTTCAAAGGCCATTTATGACCTTTCTCATCACAGGACTTGGCAGTATTCTTCTTGGCCAAACACCAGTCATTTCCAATGGATGCCCTCTTCTCATCTCAAAGCCCACACACCTGCATCACGATGTCCCTTGTGTCACTGTTCCCTTTGTCATACTCAGTGTTGTTGTCAAAGAGAACCCTCTCTAGACTCTCGGGTTTCCATGCCTAAGATCTATCTTGTGCAACATCACCTGCCCTTAGCTCTCAGTTCTTCCTGGACCCGCTAACCCAGCACTGCCTCATCGTCCTCCAGCCAGTCACATCTGGGCTGTTGGATTCACAAGGTTTTTTTTTTTTTTTTCTCTTTGTTAATGTTCCCTGTGCAAGATTTCAGCGTTAGCTTGAGTCTAACGCCCCCTCCCCACAAGAATTCTCATGAAACTCATGGCGGTTTGTTTTGTTTTGTTTTTGTTTTTGTTTTGTTTTGTTTTGTTTTGTTTTGTTTTGTTTTTGCCACCATGTGAACAAAGGACTTACCTGACACTAGCTTGTCATGGAAAGTCTAACACACCCTTCCATGGCCATCTTTGTGTTATAGATAAGGAAACTAAACTCAGAAAGTGTTCAGTGACTTGCCCAAGGTCATTGGCCCTAATCTGTGATAGGGACATTGGGAACCAAGAACTTTTACTTGTAGTCCAGGTTACAAAGTCCGACTTTGATCACCAAAGAGAGCCAAAGAGTTCTTTTTACATCTTTGCAGCCTCTTATTCGTTCGGTGGAGTATTGGTGCGTCATAAACGTTCAAAACTCAGCAGTGGTGGGAAAAGAGAGAAGAGCAGGAAAGAAGAGGGAGAGAGTCCAGAAGCACAGCTAACCATTGGAGCTCAGAATCTGTGGGTCCTTGGGGCTGGCCAGCAGCCAAGGCCCACCACCCACACCAGCACTTTCTGAGAGAAAGGTTGGCTGTGCCCACATCACACCTTGGGACCACAGGAACATCCTGTCCCAGCCTCCAACTTGCTGCCTGCCGCGACCCAGCACTCAGGGACTTTCCCAAACCAATTCTTGCTGTGTGGTTGGTGACTCAGAACCATTGCTGTTGTCCAAGGTATCATCTGTAAAGTGCTTCCTTGGAAGAGAAAATGTTTGGGACAGCTGGAAAGGGAGCTCCCAGGCTGCAGCCACAAGGAGCCTTGTTGTGTGTGTGAGAACACAGGCTCCTTATTTCCCTCTCTTCCCCTCGGCTGTGTTTATTTAAAGCTCTGCTGCCACTGTGGGGTGCGTGCCCAGGACTCCAGGCAAGGCCCTTGGCAGCAGCAGGGAGCAGGCCCGGCACTTACTGCAAGGACCACAGTAGTCATGGGCACAGGCCTCAGGCCAGGAACCAGGGAGTCCAGCCAGGACAGTGAAAGGCATTGGGCAAGAGTTGTTATTGTGTCCAAGGCCACCCTCTAATTATTGTGTTGACTGTTATGATTTCTGTTTCTATTGCCATTTCTCTTAGTAAATCTATTCCCACTGGTGACTTGTACAGGGAGAACTTTAAAATATTATATATAATATATATTTGTACTTACATGCAATCTTATATGAATATGTTGCATTTATTTATTTGTGGATTTATCCCTCTTTTTTTTTTTTTGAGACAGGATATTGATATGCAGCCTAGGTTAACCAGGAACTTACCATCCCACAGCTCCACCTCAGCATCACTAAATGTATGTATTTGTATGTATGTTCTCATATATATACATGTGTATTTATATATATGTGTATATATATTTATAGAGATATGTATGATAATTTATACGTCAGATAGGATGCTAGGCTGACCTCTCCAAGGCTCTTAGGAGTGAAACTGATGGCGTTGCTTTCCCAGGTAGCTCAGGAGGGACGGTAGCTGGTGGATGACAAGCCTCTTCTAGAGCAAACTAACAGTTTTTCTTTCAAATAATTAATGTGTATGTGTGTGGGCTTTGGGGTGCCTGTGCTTGTGGAAGTCAGAGGACAATTTACTGAAACTATTTCTCTCCTTCTACCACGTGGGGTGCAGAGAACAAAACTCAGGTCGTCAGGCTTGGTGACAAGCTCCTATCTCACTAGCTGAAAAGACTTGAATTAGAAGTGTTTGCAAACAGAACCTCAGGAGGGCTGCCCACTCCTTGTCTGTCCCTTCGCTCAAAAAATTCCTCTCAGTACCTTTGCACTGGAAACCCCCTCCATATCCTATGCTCAGTCAAGTGTTGTTGTTGTTGCTCTTTACTGTTTTGGGGGACCCACCACCCAGATCCCAAATAAGTCACACACACATAGAGACTTACAAACGCCAAGCTTGGTTTGTTTCATGCCAGCTTTTCCTAACTTAAATTATCCTGTCTACCTTTTGCCTCTGGGCTTTGACCTTTCTTTTACTTTTGTAATTCTTACTTTCACTTTTTTACTGTGTAGCTGGGTGGCTGGCCCCTTGCATCTCCCTCCTCTCTCCCTCCTTGATCTGTCTTGCTCTTTTCCTCCTTCTCCTCCCAGATTTCTCCTTCTATTTATTTTCTCTGCCTGCCAGCCCCGCCTAACCTTTCTCCTGCCTTGCTATTGGCCGTTCAGCTCTTTATGAGACCAATCAGGTGTTTTAGACAGGCACAGTAACACAGCTTCACAGAGTTAAACAAATGCAACATAAATGAATGCAGCACATCTTTGCATCATTAAAACAAATGATCCAGAGCATGAACAAATGTGACACATCTTAAAATAATATTCTACAACAGTCAAGAACTGAGGAGGAAGGAACAGACCCCAGCCAAGGGGCCTGGGCTCTCCACCACTCACCTGTGAGGACAAAGGGTAGACTGAGAACGAGTCCACAAAAAGGGTACACTATATGACACACTGAGGCTCCCAATACCACCAGGACGAATGAAGAGGTGTTGAAGAGGTGAAAAAGATAAGAAGCGAATAGGCTTGTTTTTGTTTTGTTTTGTTTTGTTTGGGGGTTTTGTTTTGTTTTTTGCTTTGCTTTGTTCTTTGGTTTGTTTGTTGGGTTGGTTTGGTTTCTTGTTTTTGTTTGTTTGCTCGCTTGCTTGCTGCTTGTTTTTTTTTCCTTTGTGTTTAATTTTTTTTTAATTTTCATGGAGAGTGCTGCAGGGGTAAGGGGAGGATAGGGAGGGACCGGGAGGTAAGCAGAATTGGGGTGCATGATGTGAAACTCCCAAAGAATCAATAAAGAAGTTAAATTTTCAAAGAAGAAGAAGAAGGAGTCCATGGCTTGTAAGAAGCAGCCAGGCTATTGCGCCAGTGTGACGCCGCTCCCTAGACACAGATCACCGGATGTGTTTATGAAACCATCACCAGTTCTCCTGGAGAGCATCTGCTTGCCAGCAGCAGTCAGGAGTGCCATGCTTTGACTTCAGCCTTTTCCACTTTCATGCCACCAAGAGAAGCTCCAAAGGCCAGCAGGAAAACGGGCTCTTTAGAGTTAGGAAACTCATCTTGATGGTTACCACAGTGTGCTTCCCAAGCAAAAGGAACAAAAAGAATATGTTGAGCTCTCAGAGATGCTGACTCCACTATGGTAGGCAATTTTTCAACTACAGATGGCCTCTGCCTCCGTTTTTCCTAGTCAATTGAAATCAAAACTGTCTTTTCAGTTTTCACCCTACCTGTGGCTGGTAAGACGCTGAGTATTTAGAGAAAGAAGAGCATTGTTACAGGTAACTGTTTTTAAATTTGATGGCATTTTTATTTTCTCTATCAAGAATGAAAATGCAGTGAGGGCTGGAGATGATAGCTCGGTTAGTAGAGTGTTTGTCTAGCATGCAAGAAGACTTAGGTTCAATCCGCAGCACTGCATGAACTGGCCATAGTGTATACCATAGTGAAGGCAGGAAGATCAATAGTTCTAGTTGGCTAAATAGAGAATTTGAGTCAAATCTGGGATACATGAGACTCTGTCTCAAAAAAAAAAATTGCAATGAACATCTAGTTACCTAAAACTTTTTAAGTTAAATTCTCTCCATGAAATAAATCCATACCATGAAAGGGAGTCCATGCCAGACATTGCCTGGATGGCCAAGAACCAGAGACCGGATAACCCAGAGACCTAGGGTATAACCAAACATGACTGGCAAGAAAAATTAATTAAATGATTCCTAATGACACACTGTATTCATAGATCAGCGCCTTGTCTAGTCATCATCAGAGGGGCTTCTTCCAGCAACAAATAGGAGCAGGTATAGAGACCCACAGCTAGACATTATGCAGAGAGAGTCTAAATTGGAGGTCTCCATCAGGTCCCTTCCCTTGGAGACTGGGGAATTCCACCCAAGAGGGTGAGGAAAGATTGGAGGAGTCAGAAGGGATGGAGGACACCAGGAAAACATGGCCCACTGAATCAACAAAGCAGGGCTCATCTGGACTCACAGAGACTGAAGGAGAAAACAAGGGACCTGCATGGGTCTGCACCAGGCCCTGTACATATATGTGATGGCTGTCAGCTTGGTGTTTTTGTGGGACTCCTAACAGTGGGAGCCAGTGTGTCTCTGACTCTTTTGCCTGCTCTTGGGACTCTTTTCTCCTATTGGGTTTGCCTTCTCCAGCCTTGATATGAGGGCTTTTGCCTTGTGTTGGATCATGTTTTGTTGTGCTTGGCTGTTATCTGAAGGGAAATGGAAGGGAAGTGGATGTAGTAGAAAGGAGAGGTAAGGGGAGCTGGGAGGAGTGGAGGAAAGGGAAATTGTGGTCAGGATGTCTTGTTTTTTTCTGAGTGTTTTGTCTGTGCACCATGTTCTTACACTGCAATGCAAGCCAGAGAGGGCATTGATTTGGGATGTATTGTATGAGAGAAGAATCTATTTTCAATTTAAAAAAAAAAGAAAGGAAAGAAGGAAGAAAGAAAGAGTAGTGTGATAATGCTGTGAACGTGACACCTAAGAAGCAAATCTTTGAAATGTCTTTGAGGGACTATCTTGATTGTGTTAGTTGATGGGAGAAAACCCATCTTCACTGGGAAGGACCCTGGACTGTGTAAAGTGGAGAGGGCAAGCAGAACACTAGCACACAGGGCTCACTCAACTGGAGCTAGCAAGTTGGAAATTTGCCGGCAGGCCAGCTTTCTGAATTGAGGTAATTCCCAGGTCCTCAGTTTTCCCATCTGTGAGATAGGGTTGATATAATGCATCATGCACGTTTGTGGTAAAGATAAAGAGGAAGCCATGCTTGCAGAGCTCACGGCACAACACTTGGCTGCTGACAGCGGTGTCCTCTTCCTCTTCGTATGGTGTAGAGGACCAGGCTTTGAATAACAGATTCCTGGTCTCCACACTCAAGGCATCCCACTCCTCAGTCTGCAGTTAGTCCCTGGCTTACAACAAATTGACTTGTGGCCTTCGGATTGTTCAGCTTTCTGATGGTGAGGAAATAACAATCAGAAGAAACCATCCATGCATGTTGAGCCCTTTCCAGGTAGCAGTTCACAGTGCCATCCTCTCTTGGGATGGAAGGGAGTGGTAGCTACAGCTACAGTCATCCCTACCACCACCGGAAGAGGAAGTTTTGACAGTACAGCAGCCTGTGCTGCTAAAATGGGCTGTTCAGGGGCCTAGGTGTGTTCAGCTTACAATATTTTCAACTTGGGCTTAGCACATTGTAGCCCCATTGCAAGTCAAAGGGCATCTACCCATGCTTACTTTAGGCTGGAAGAGTGTCTTTGTTATGGTTACTATTGTTGTGATGAAACACCATGACCAAAAGTATTTTGGGGAGGAAAGGATTTATTTCACTGACAGTTCATATAACAGTTCATCTTCAAAAGCTATGCTGACAGGAGCTGATGTGGAAGCCATGGAAGAGCTGCATACTGGCTTGTTCCCCATGGCTTGCTCAGCTTGCTTTCTTATAGAACCCAGGACCACCATCCCAGAGATGGCACCACCCACTTTGGGGTTGGGTCTGACCCGTCAATCACTAATTAAGAAAATGCCCTACATCCTGATCTTACAAAGGCATTTTCTTAATTGATGTTCCCTCCTCTCAGATGACTTTAGTTTGTGTCAAGTTGGCATAAAACTATCTGGGGCATAAAGCAGAGAGTTACTGAGTCATTACATGGAGGGTCACAACAATCAAGAATCAAAAACAGAAAGTCTTTTTACAGGGAGGGAAATTACGGGATAAGAAAATTAGTGCAATATCGCCCTTGGCCATCTCAACAAAAATGTTCAAAAGGTGACCTTGCCCTTCACTACATTAGTTTATCAGGACCACATCAACAAGGACCATAGTCTGGAGCCCAAAGTCTGGAAACAAGGGCTCAGCAACTTTGGTTTCATCTGAGGCCTCTACCCTAAGCTTGTAGAAGGTCACCTTCTCCCCATTTCTTCCTATGCACATGAATGCTCTCTCATTTACCTCTCTCTCTCTCTCTCTCTCTCTCTCTCTCTCTCTCTCTCTCTCTCTCTCTCATCTATTTCTGTCTGTCTCTGTCTATCTGTCTTTGTCTCTCTCTCTTGTATGTGTGTGTGTGAGAGAGAGAGACAGAGACAGACAGAGAGCTGTGTACATTCAAATGCACAAGCTCATATCCTCTGCTTTCTTCTTTTTATAAGATTTTTATAAGATTGGATTCACCAGTAATGACTGCATTTTTTATTTAAACCTTTTTAAAAGCCCTATCTCCAAGTATACTCACATTCTGGGGTACTGTAGGGTTAAAACATTAACATCTGTTCATGCCACCTAACTTACCAGTCACACTCACACAGTGACACTAGCGTGTCTATGTCACACACACACACACACACACACACACACACAACACACACACACACCCCACAATGAATACACACCAACCCTTAAAGGGATCTAGCCCTGCTTATGCTTGTAATTGCTCACACCACAGGAAATGATGAAGACTTGAATCAGTAGCTCATATATACATGCGATATGTGTATATGTCCCTTGTGGTCAGTGTCTCACAGCTCAGTACTGGCATCGAAGAGTTGAGTCAGTGACCATGTCAGCCGGGTTTCCTAGGGACTCGGGATGGAAAGGAAGCCTATTGCATAACAATCAGGATGGGCCAGGGTCCTCTTAGCTCACTTTTCTATAGAAACACCAACTGCATTGCAGTTTACTGCAAATAAGCAGCACCCCAATTCAACAGCCCAGAGTGTGTGAGCTGCAGCAATTAGGGGCATGCGTCTCAGAGAGAAGAAACACAAGCATTTAATCATCACAAAAGGCAAACGCAAAAGCATCTAAAGACTGCTAACAAAGAAGTAGAACCACTCTAAATTCTGAACAGGTTTCTAAAACTCCAAAAGGGCAGCAAATCATGTTACTTATCATTTAAAAATAACTGGGATTTAAGAAATGAAATTAGACAAGTGATTAATGCATCAACTTGAGCCAGAGTTCCTTTGATAGTTGGAAGAAAATAAAAGCCAGCCAAGAAATAAACATTTCAAATTCAGGTGCTTTGCAATCTGTGCTCCAAATGTTTCCCTGAGTTTGGGAAGAGGTGGCCTGCTCTGCATACACAGCAACCAGCTTCCTGGCTCCAGTAAGTTACCTTCAAAATAAGAGCATCGGCAGGGAGAAGCAGCAGCCACCATGGGCAAAGGGCCTGCCGAGACAAACACAGAAGCTAGAGCCAGGCCAGGAAATAGGTTGCTAAAGAAGGTCCTCAGGGTGTTGTGAAGACACCTTTGTGGTTTATTTGTTTGTTTGCTTGATTGGTTGGATGGTTGGTTGGTTGGTTGGTTGGTTGGTTGGTTGGCTTTTTGACTTGCTAATTCTATTTATATTAGAAATCCAAGGAGAGCAAAGAGTCTTTTGACATAGTAAGAAGAAAACAAATGTGGGTGATCGAACAGTCTATGTGAAGAGGCAGAAAGAAGCTCGTGGTGAGTTAGGGAAGGGCTCCCTTACCCCTTTCTACTTGCAACTAGTTTGAAACTAAGACATTTTTTGCACAGTCCAAAGTATATAGGTACAGAAACTAGATACCAAATCAAACATTTATTGATAATAAACCATAAATGAATATCTTGTTAAAGAAATCTTTGGCATACACACTATTTCACCCCTTTGCAAAGACAAAAGTAAGTTTATAGACTAATGAGATGAATGAGCTTCTTTTTACATAAAAATAAAGAGATTTTGGCTGAATATGGGATGATGCAAGGTGCATGGTCTTGAGTGTTCTGCAGAGTTGGTTGATATTTTACTTTCCAATTGCCTGTACTGAGAACATTACTTTGCATAAATACATGAAACAAAATGGCAAAAGTATGTTTAGGGCCATTTCAGAAATCATTGGAAATTCTGTTCTAATCCCAAGCCAAACTTCATCTAATTGATTTGATGAAACTACTTTCAGGAACTCAAAGAGCAATTTTTAAAAATCAAACATTCTAATACAATACAATACAAAGATATACTAATTTGATACTTATGTGCATCCCCGGTGCCAGAAGAGGGAGTCAGGGCCTTTGGAACTGCAGTTAGAAGGCTGTCAGCCATGATGTGGGTACTGGGAATGGAACCTGGCTCCTCTGGAAAACAGCCAGGGCTCTAAATGGCTGGCCATTTTTCCAGCTCAAGATATATTTCTAAGGAAGTGTCTTTGATAGGGTTTCTATCAGGGCAATAAAACACCATGACCAAAAGCAAGTTGGGGAGGAAAAGGTTTATTTGGCTTACACGTCCACACTGTACCATCATTGAAGGAAGTCAGGACAGGAATTCACAATGGGACAGAAACCTGGAGGCAGGAGCTGATGCAGAGGTATGGAGGGGTGCTGCTTACTGGCTTTCTCCTCATGGCTTGCTCAGCCTGCTTCTTTATAGAATCCAGGACCACTAGCCCAGGGATGGCACCACCCACAGTGAGCTGGGCCCTCCCCCATTAACCACTAATTAAGAAAATGCCCTCCAGGTTTGCCTACAGCCTGATTTTATGGAGGCATTTTTCTTAATCTAGGTTCTCTCCTCTCTGATGACTTTAGCTTTTGTCAAATTGACATAAAACTATCCAGCACAGGAAGCAAATATATTTAGCTTGACTAAACGATTATACAACATTATATATATATATATAAAACATGACACAGTACCAAATAATATGTACAAGTCTTATACTTGTATGTATTTGTAAAAAAAAAAAAAAAAATTGTTAATTTGTGGTTGAGAGAATGAAGTTCAGTTGGTGGAGTGTTTGCCTAGCATGGAGGAGTCCCTGAATCTGAAACCCAGCACCAGGTAAAATACAAGCATGGTGATGCCCACCTGCTGTCCCGTACCCGGGAGGTGGAGGTGGGAACATCAGACGTTCAAGGTCATCCTTGTCAACATACCATGAACAAGGCCAGTTTGAATAAGACCCCCTCACAAATAATAATAGTAATAATAATAATAATAATTTTGATTTTTTTAATGTCAAATTTTAGAACCTGAAACACAGCCACAGGATAAACTAAAGTCAACAGACAAACAAGGGTTCAGCCACACTGTCCACAGAGAGTCCAAAGGGGAGCTGCCTGCACTGCAGACTCCTTACTTCATTTTTAAATTAACACAAAGGAGGAGGAGGAGGAGGAGGAAGAGAGAGAGAGAGAGAGAGAGAGAGAGAGAGAGAGAGAGAGAGAGAGAGAGAGACTGAGAACTCAATTCACTGCTCTCTTCTGGGCATCATGATCCTCATTTATAAAAGCAAGGCCTGGCAGCAGATTCTCTAACTACACAGCTCTTAGCCTACCCGGTTCCCCCCAGGCCCAGCCAAGGGTCTTTGTCGGTCCTGTTTCCAAAGGAGACCCGAGATTTGGCAAGCCGTCCTGCCCCCATCTTGCAGAGCTCCAGAGCCTGGCAGCTGGAGGGCCCTTCAGAGCTTTGTCTGCACAGTGTTAGCCAAGATGGGGTGAATGTGCTTCCAGACTCAAAGACCTAGTGGTGGGCCCTACTTGCACCTGCCGCAGTGACTGACTCTGACCTTGCTCCTAACCTCTCCATAGCAAGGAATAACAATGCTCACGTCATGGGCTGAAGATTACGTGAAAAGCGAGCACACAATCCTTTCAGTACATGGCAAGCCGTCGGCGCCCCGATTCCCTGGCTGTCTCCTTAAGTCAAAGCCTGCAAATGTTTCTTCCGGGGAATGCTAGAGGGAAGCAGTAGCATGCCAATCCTGAGAAGCAAGGGATGTAAAAACAACAACAAGAGAAGTCCAGGATTTCACTTGAGAGAAAGGTATGTGGCTTCCCTCTATAGTAAGTAGACTCTACTTCTTTATCACATTTCCTTTAAACAGATGTGAAAAGTTCTTTGACATTGAGAGAACACAGCTGTTGGCCTGAGAATGTGACCCGAAAGCCCACCCTCAATAGGAGGCAGGCTGGGATTACTAACCTGACATGTTTAATCTCTACGGCAGATCAACGGACTGCAGATAGTCAGAACCGACTGGAGGGTTCCCCCACCCCCCCGCCCCATTTTGTACTATTTTCCAATAAAGAGAACATGTGACACCTTCCTGGCCAAGGTTAATCTTTACAAATAAGATGATGCTAAAAATGGGATGATATCAAAGACCATGGAACTTCTCACTGCCCTCTTCCCCGCACCATCCCCAAGACATCCATAAACCACACCACGGTGAAAATACTAACAAAGAGTTAACTGCATCCAGTAAATCTCCTCTAGATACATGCTTCCCACCACCACCACCACCACCCCTCGATTTTCTTCTTATTTATTTCTTAAGATATATTTTCACTTTAATAATGTCTATGAAATGTTCCATCCGGCAAAAATTAAAATGATCCATCACCCACACTGCCCAGACAGCCTTTGCTCACACTGAAACAGTGAAAGAAAAGGGAACGTACCCATGTGAGCCAAATAGTAAGTGCAGAATGTTCCAGGCTATGATGGGAGTATATCACCAACTACACTCAACACTTCTCCTTGTTTCTCTAAAAGTAAAAATGTTCAGAGTCCCTTGGAGAGCCTTGTAGAAGTATTGCAATGCATAGCTTAGCCTTTATGTATCTTTTTAAGCTACCCATGAATGATGGTGCTAGTCTCTAGATAACCCATGTTTTGTCTTCATCTACGTTATGGATTGAACTGTGTTGCTCCTAACATTCTTATGAGGAAGTCTTGACCCCCAGAATTCTGCAGTATGGCTACATTTGGGAATATAGGAAACTAGGATAATGAGGGCAGGCTCTCATCCCATCTGGCCGGTGTCCTTATTAGAAGACACACAAAGCCCCCAAGGTGCACATGCACACAGGGACAGCATAGGCAAAAGTAGCAGAAATGCAGCCATTTGCAAACCAAGAGAGGCTTGGAGGAGCCGTCCTACCCAAGGCTCCTGGATCTTGGACTTTCAGCCTTCAGAACTGTAACAAAATGAACTTGTGTGGTTGAATCCTGACCCAACCCAATCTAGGGGACACCGCAGTTAGCTAATACAACTCCTTAGTATTTATTTGTAGTACATCTGTATCAGTGCGTAGGAATGTGCCTCATTTCATCATAGAAATTGCCATTTTCTTTCACCTCCACCCTGCTAATTAACATTTATATTTATTCCAAGTTTTTGACAATTTCAAATTATATTGCCACAAACATCTTTGCACTGATGTCTTGGGGTAATTTTACAGCTTTGTAAAGTGAATTCCCACAAACAGAATTGTGGGCTCAGTATGTATAAACGCACACATACATAATTTCAGCAGCTTCAAATTGCCCTTCAATTTGTTCTACTTCCATCAAAAGTACTCTAAAATGCAATTTTCAGATGCAAATACATGGACAGCAATGTGTGTGTGTGTGTGTGTGTGTGTGTGTGTGTGTGTGTGTGTGTGTGTGTGTGTAAATGGAGGGGAGAGAGAAAGAGAATGGAAGAGAAAGGGAGAGAGACTAGGAAAGAGAGGGAGAGATGGAGAGAAGGGAAGAGGAGAGAAGGGAGAGAGGGAGAGAACTTTAAATTTTCAGTAGCCCAAAAGCTGCAGGTGAGTGCGTCACTTTTTGTTTGTGTACCTATGAATAATTCTGAGCACTTAGAGAGATTCTGGCATCACAGCCTTGGAGGCAGCTTGGATTTGGGCACTATCATTTCCTAACTATGTGAATCGGGCCAGGTTTCCTGACTTCTCTGGGTACCAGGCTCCTTCTTATGCAAACGGGATAACAACTGAAGTTGCCTCAATGTAGGTTACAGGTGTGAACAGACATTAGTGCTTGGCACGGTGTTTGTGAGACAATAAGCCCCAATGTTCTTAATGTTGTTACTAATGCAACGTCGATTATACCTGGTTTCTGATGATGCTACTCCTTCTGCTGAAGCTCTGGTCTCCAATGGGGTTGCCTTAGAAAACAGAAAGGAATCGGGGAAGTCATTAAATTTGTATGAGCTCCCAACCCAATATGACGAGCATCGTCTATAAGAAGACAGGCACATCAGAAGAGCTTTACCTCACTCTCAGAATAGAAGTCTCTTGAGAGCACAACCTAACAGGGGCTGCATGGAAGGAAAGAGACCTCACATTGAAGCCTACCACGCTATCTCCTTGCCCTGGGGTAGCCCAAGCAAGCAAACACATCCTGTTCATATATCGCATCTCCACCCAGGCAGAGTTTTTCTTACTGTATGATTTTTCCTCTCCCAATAAAGGATACAGGTGTTCTTATTTTCTTTCTGTTGCTGTGATGGACACCGCGGTCAAAGCAACTCAGGGAAGGGAAGTTTCACCTTACAGTTGCAGGTCACACTCCATCTCTGAGGGAAGTCAGCGCACAAGCCCTGACTTTTCAAGAAGGGACAGAAACCATGAAGGAACACCGCTTGCTGGCTTCCTCGCTGGCTTTTTTTCAGACTCATGTTTAGCTGCTTTTCTTCTACATCCCAAGACCACTGCCTAAGGATGGTACCTCCCACAATGGACTGGACCCTCCTGCATGAATTAACAATCAAGACAGTCCCTCCCAGACATGCCCACCCAACTTATAAAGACAATTACTCAGTTGAAATTCTTTGCCGGTGACTTTTAGATTGTATCAGGTTGACAGTCATTGCTAACTAGGACAGATGAGTTAACTAATGGACCCTGGTTGGAAAACAAGACTGTGTGACATTGTCATCTACTGGGTTCTTCCAACCATGACCCATGGAAGAAGCAGTAGAGGTGGATTGCTACAATGCCTGGAGATGGAAATATGAATGAAGCAGTACTGGAGGTAGAATTTTGAGATTTAGTCTAATTTTTAAGAAGGTATGTATAATTCTAGTCCTGATGCTAGATCGACTGCAGAATTCAACAGTCTCCTTTACAGACTTCAGCACAGGGCCCCTTCTCTGGCCATGTGACTGCTTTTACACATCATTTTCTATGGAAGAAAACTGTAGAGTATCAGTTACTGCCCACCTTTCCTCATTTCCACATCAAAATCTGAGTACTGAAACGGACTTTTTCCAATTTCAATCCGAAATTGTAATGTAATATGGAGCTCTTATAAGTGAGAGAGGCTGACAGGTTTGTGCCTCTCACTCCTACCAGAAAGAGACACACATATTGGTTCCACATTTTTGGATATGTTACCCACGCTAAGTTAGGGACCAGATAGGAGAAACGGCTGATTTGAAGTCCATGAATATAAGCTTTCGAGCATGGATGTATAGGGATAGATGGGGTAACTGGGAAAACAGACACACAAAAAAATGCACAATATCTGACAGACCCCCATTAAATCAGCAGAGTGACTACAAAGATGAGACAGTGGAGTGTGAATCTCAGAAGCGCAGTCTCACGGGTTCAAAACCTAAGCCTACCACTTCAGTGGCTGTATGATGATGGCCGGGATAATTTCCCCTTTAGGACTCAGCTTTTCCAGCTATGAAACAAGAATGATGTTACCCTACCTTGTCAAGCTGTGGGAATTATGTAAGCCAAAGACTAGAATGCTTCACCTATGATGAACACAAGGGCACAGGTCTTAAACTTCAGAACTTGGGAGTCAAAAGTAGGAGGATCTATAATTTGAAGCCAGTCTACATATTAAATCTTCCCCTTCCCCACCTCCAAAAAAAGAAAATGGGAATGAGAATACAGGTCAGTCAGCACAGTGGGTGCCTAATAGGCACAAAGCTCTGGGTTTCATTCCTAGGACCATATAAACCAGACATAACAGCTCCTAGTTATAATCCTGGCATTCAGGAGGGAAACCAGGAGGATCGGAAGTTCAAGATCATCCTTGAATGTATAGTGAGTTTGAGACCAGCTAAGGCTACCTGGACCCTGGTTCAAAAAAGAAAAGAAGGGAGGGAGGGACGGAGAGACAGAGGGATGGAGGTAGGCAGAGAGAGAGAGAGAGAGAGAGAGAGAGAGAGAGAGAGAGAGAGAGAGAGAGAGAGAGAAGAAAAAAACAAAGAAACAAAGAGAGAAGCTTACTCTTTGCCTGGCACATACTAAAATAGCTCTACCAATGACAAAATATCTCTTAGACTTTTTTCTCAACATCTGAATGTTTTCATTTCTAGGTTTTTATTATCCACCCAGTTTAGCTCCATATTCATCAGCTCTTAAGTGATCATGAGTTCTCAACAGAACCCATACGAGGAATAAAAGAGAAGAATAAGACCCTCAAGAAATTCATAGTCCAAAAGGAGACCACGGAGTATGAAAGGGACTACTAGCAAATAATGAAAGGCAGTGAAGAATGGGTGAATAATCCAGAGAGAGCCTAGAAGTGAGCATGTGGAGAGGAGACAATGGTGTCACAGCTCCCAATGGCAATCCCTCACTAGGTCTGTTTTGCTTCCATGGCTGTTCCTGTGGCCAGAATCCAACTGAAGTACCATCTCATGTTCCACCCCATCTTCAGCGGCCATAGTGAAAATCACAATGAGCATGCCACTTGCCGAGTGTGGCACTGTGGACTCATCCAGGTGGGTCCTCTGGATATTTCTTCTGCTTACAGCTTTGGAAATGAATATTAAAAGTATCATTAGCCGGTTGGCGGTGGCGCACGCCTTTAATCTCAGCACTCAGGAGGCAGAGCCAGGTGGATCTCTGTGAGTTTGAGGCCAGCCTGGTCTACAGACTGAGATCCAGGAAAAATGCAAAGCTACACAGAGAAACCCTGTCTCGAAAAAACAACAACAAATCAATCATTCCCTTTGGAGGACCTGATATTTTCCCCATAGCATTACCCCAAATGCTTTACTTGGCACCATGTGAAGGTCCTGTCTTTGACCCCCCCACCCCCACCCCATGACTCAAAACTCTGGACTGTCAGTCACTGGCGGCCATACTAAGCAACTGAACACATGATTAAATAATGGCATTTGTGTTTCCATACACTTTGTGTCTGAGTAGAAGAGGTTAAAATATAAAGTAAAGGAACAGAATCCAAGTTTCCGGTGAGAAATGTGGGCCAGGGTCTCATTTTAATGAAGCTCAAATCATGTTCTGTAGTTTCTGTTTCCCCTACGGTTCCAGTTCCTGGTCATAAAGTTGCAAGAGGCAAAAGAGCATTCAGCTGGAAAACATGGAGTGTTTGGTTTTGTCGGGAAGGGGAGGAGAGAAGAGGGGAAGGGAGGGGGGTGGGGGGAGGGAAGGGGAATTTCAGGTATCTTGGTTCACACAGCCATCCAGAACTTAGTGTTTTAATATGACAGGGTAGGGGGCCTGGGAAGATGGCTCAGTGGGAAAAACTGCTTGCTACACAAGCTTGGGTACCTAATTCCCAATTTCCAGATCCCAGGTCCCAGGTAAATACACACACACACACACACACACACACACACACACACACACATACCCCCGTGCGCATGCAATCTGTTTTAATTAATTAAATTAAATTACTTATCCTCTCTCTTGTGGTTGTATGGTTTGACTGGAAAATTTGAACTTGGGGCAGTCAGTGCAGATGAAGCCTCCGGCTGGAGTGAGTTAAAGGCTTGATAGTGGTGGTACCATCTCTCCAAGATGGCTCCTTCACTAAGATGTCTGCCCCTCCCACACCTCGAACCTCTTATTTGGTGCCTGCTTCCTCCAAGCCACCGCACATGGATTGGGCTTTTCCCCACAGGGTGGTTCCAAGGGAGTCTTCCTTCCTCCACACGGATGAAGACGGAAACAGGCCAGAGAAGATTTGCATCTAAAAGTATCCATGTCATTTCCACTACGGTGACTCAGTCAAAGCACCGACGTCATCCAAGCTAAAGTTGTGTGTCTTGATGAAATACCGTCGTGGTTCAGTCAGGGCTGAATGATGGTGAGACCAAGACACACCCTCAGACAAAGATTCTGCCATGAGCCCTCATCAGCCCTAATCAGGGTCCTTCATTAGCCACCAAAGACCAAGCTGTGTCAGTCAGCTTGCCGTTATTGTGACTGAATACCACAGGTAATTGACTTATTAGGAGGGCAGGTTCATTGCGGGTCATGTCTTCGGGGGCTTCGATCATAGTCACTCGGCCCTGTTGCCATAGCGCAGCATATTATGATGGGAGCACATGCCAGAGAACTATGGCTGTCACAATAAATAAGAGAGAAAAGAATGCAGGGTTCCTATATCCCCTTCAAGAGCATGTCGTCACCTTTGACCTACTCCCTCCTACGGAACCTACTTTTATTTTATTTTTCTTGAGATGAAGACTTTCTATGAGGCCAAGCTAGCCTTGAACATGCAGGTGGTGCTGCATCTACGGAGTGCTGGATTGTAGGCATGTGATGCTTCCTCAATCGTCCATCACCTCTCAAATACGCCAGCGGCTGGAGGTCAAGCCTTTCACACTTGGGACTTTGGTATATCTGAGCTATAGCAGTGCCCTCTCCACCAGATAAGCACGAAAGTCAAGCCTCCTGACAGTAAGGCATCTACTTGGGCCAATCATTCCACCAGGTGTAGGGAAAACCGAGAAACCGAGTGCACAAACACACAGGCCTGACAAGGAGGAGTCTGTCCTCTTTCAACATGATTGCCCACTGTGCAATAGAAGCAGTTGGACCAAGACAGAGGACCCCAAGGCCACCCAGCTCCCTAGTATAGACAGTTGAAATCCACACTGTTGGGGAATATTATTTTAAGCTGTTACTTTTGTTTATGTTGCATTTGTTTAACTCTGTGAAGCTGTTTTACTGTGCCTATCTAAACCAACTGATGGTCTAATAAAGAACTGAACGGCCAATAACAAGGCAGGAGAAAGGAATGGGCAGGACTGGCAGAAAGAATATATAGGAGAAATCCAGGAGGAGAGAGAGGTAGCCAGAGAAGGAGGAGGACACTAGGGGTCAGCACCCAGCTACACAGCAAACCACGGAGTAAGAAACAAAGAAAGGTATACAGGAATAGAGAAAGGTAAAAGCCCAAAGGCAAAAGATAGATGGGATAATTTAAGTTAAGGAAAGTTGGCAAAGAACAAGTCAAGCTAAGGCCAAGCAATCATAATTAAGCCTCCGTGTGTGATTTATTTTGGGAGCTGGGTAGTGGGCCCCCCAAAAGAGTAAAAACAAACAACACCGCCACACCCCAAAGCTAGACATAGTGGTGCACGCCTTTGATCTTAGCATTTGGGAGGCAGAGGCAGATGGATCTCTGTGAGTTCAAGGGCAGCCTGATCTACATAGTGAGTTTCAGGACAGCCAGAGCTACATAGTAGGACCCTGTTTCAAGAAAAAAGAGGAAAGAAAGAAGGGGGAGGGAGAGAGAGGAAAGGAAGGGAGGGAGGGAGGGAGGGAGGGAGGGAATCATTAGGATCAAGCCAGTAAACAGTACTCCACCGTGGCCTCTGAATCAGCTCGCCTCCTGGACTCCTGACCTGAGTCCCTGGCCCAACTTCCCTGGGTGATGGACTACAAACTATAAGGTGAAATAAATCCTTTCCTGCCCAAGTTGCCTTTTAGTCATGGTGTTTACCACAGCAATCGAAAGCTAACGCAGACATTGTCTTAGTAGGGGAGCATGGCCAAAGCTGCACTCTCCACTTTACCAGAGGTTATAATATGTCAGACAAAGCCACCTCATTGGAAAACTGTGATTTTGAAACGAAGCCTTTCAAACTGTAAATTACCATTTGTGGGTGTTTGAGTTACCTGTTGGATGGTTAAATCAGACCTTTCTTCTTTCTTCCTTCCTTCCTTCCTTCCTTCCTTCCTTCCTTCCTTCCTCCCTTCCTTCCTTCCTTTCTTTCTCTCTCTTTCTGTAATCTTCCTTTCTTTCCCCTGTTTTCAATCTACAACTCTTGCTTTAGGATTTAGCTTTGACAGGGTGTTTTTTCTGTCTTCATACCCGCTCCAAAAACTCACTAGCTGTGAGTAGAAAGCGTTAGAAGTTATATGACCTTAAAACTTCCTTTCATAAAATCAGGAAAATTAATTACATACATATATGCATATTATATATACATATATAGTAATTATATACACACACTCCCCGTTCTGGCTATCAAGAACTTGAGTGGTCTCTTACCAGGAGTGCCAACACAGCCTCTCTTTAAGTTCTCCCAGCCCCGGGATGGCCTCCAGACCCCTATGGTAATGACCCAGCCATGAAAATGTACTCGTCTGGAAGCCAGAGTATCGACTTGCACCAGGTGAAGCAAAACCAGAATCCTGCAAGCCTTGTGGACTTGGAAATCTACCAAATCACTTCACTCGATCAACCCAGTACTTGTAGGTATGTAAAATGTAAATATTTAGTTTTATAGTTTATATGGGGTGTTTTATAGAGCAAAGAAATCAGAACACCCTTTCTGTGGCACTATAACTTCACCAAGCTCTAATATGGCTCAGCTGGTCTCCCACAGGTGCCCCTTATCAGGGGGTAAAGGGTGCCTGAACATGCATGAGAGCTCCTAACATTCCTCACAGAAAATCCCGGAGAGCACTGGGTCAAGAGAGGGAGTGTGGAAGTGAAAAGTAGGTCTGAGAGATTCTCTCTCTCACATGTGAACTTACAAACCTCAGCTGAAGAAGTTTACGTGGAACTTAGGGTAGGAGGGCTCGGGATGTATGAGTAGCTAGGAAGCACAAGGAACTGGTTTTGATGCCCAGAAATACATGTGCGCGCGCGCGCACACACACACACACACACACACACACACACACACACACACACACATTGCCGGTTCTGGTTGTATACTCCTACAATCTCAGTGCTCAATGCTGAGGCGGGAGGATCACCAGCTTAAGGCCAGCCTGGCTACAAAACAATCAGAATGAGTATTGGGGGCAGGAGCTATATAAGGGGAAAATGTGGCCATTCTAAAAGGAGCATTACCCAAGATGCACCACTTGCTAAGGGTCCTCTCTCTGTGCTGTACTCACTTAACCCTGCAGGAAGTGGGCACCAGGAGAACCCCGTCAATATTCTGCACTCGTGTACCATCCAGAGTGTCAGCCCCAGCCATCCGCACTATAAACCCAATGAGGGAGCTGTTATTGTCACCATTTGAAGAGGAATCTGAAGCACAGAAAGATGAAGCCACGTGCTCAAATCCTCAGACAGTTCTCTGATGGTGCCAGGGAAGGCTTCAACCTTCAAAGGTGTACCCATAGTGATGCTCTGCCAGCCACCTCCTAACGGCTCCATATCCTCAAACATGGTAACACAAACCGAGGGCCTAGCATTCAAAACCTAAGCTGAGGGTGGGACAAGGGGAGGAGTTTCATATTCAAACCATAACAGGACAGCTGCATCATGAGTCCCCATTTCTTCATTCAGTAAAAATAAGTGACTCTGGGCAAAGCAAAGACGGGTCCTGCCTTCTTCAGGAAAATGGAGACAGTATTGAGAGGTAACCTGAGGTGGCATCATGGAAGGCCGGGCACACTGAGGAAAAACACCATTTGTTTATATACTCTTCCAACAGCCAGATGTGTGAAGGAGGCCAGTCAGCCTCCCTGTTGTCCCGATTTACCTGAAAGAGTTCACCAAAGATCATCTTGCCCAGTCCCCAGGAGCCTCCCTAACAGCCCAAGAATTGGATAAAACTGTTGTTTTAAGCCATTCTGTTCTGTGGTGGTTTACTGAAAGGAAAATGTTTAATGAGCAGTCAGTGTAGCTCCACAATTGGGGTGGCACTGAAAACTGTATATGAAAAAGAAAAGACCCGGATCTTCTTCATGAGATGAAGAGCTGTGCGTAGGTGACCATGAGAAGTGATGGGCCGAAATGAACTCACCGAGGAGGCTCCGAACTGCCATGGGAGGAAGGACAGTGAGACTAACTGGGTTCCAGGGAGGGAGAAGCCAGTAGAAGAGAACAGCAGCCTGAGTGCAGAGGGACAGACAGCCTCATCAGGAAGTCTAGAGGAAGGAAACTCCCACGTGGTAAGAACATCCTACTTGAAAGCCTACAGAGACGAAAATCAGTAGTGATCTAGAATTCTCAGAATAGTTCTTGCTTCCTGCTCCAAACCCTCTCCACAACCAATCTACTCCCCTTAGTGAACTTCAGTTGGCCTGAACTTCAACTCCACTTCCTTCAGAAGCCTTCTGTCGTATACTGTATTGGGCCTTCCCAAAATTTCATAATTGAATCGCTGGTCCCTGATGTGATGGGATTTGGAGGTAGAGTCTTGGGGGGGGGGCGGGTGTGGAAGCCGACAAAAGTTTCTGAGTGAGATCTGAGCTTGCTTTACCAAGCAGAGCTGCATGGGGAATTGCTTGACCATGTGCATGGTTACCCGGTGATTGGAAGGGTCTACACTTGGCTGAGCTGGGGGGAGGTTTTTTCCTCCACCCCTTGGCATTCCTATAAATAGCCCTTTAGAAGAGGCAGAGGGAGTCTGGTAGATAAGGATCCAGTGTTTCTGTTTCTCTCCCCGCTATCCTTCTATCTAAATCTCACTCCTCAAGAGTACCCTGACTCCTCAAGAAATCCCTCACTTCTCAAGAGTACCCTGGGGTAAAATGTGAGAGCCGGTCTCCCAGCTGGCCTCCCACAGGGAAGTAACTAGTGATAGGTGACACCAGGACGGTGGGGCCCCAGGATGGGATTAGTGCCCTTAAAAGAAAAGATGTCAGGGGACCAATATGAGGACATAAGAATCATCATCTAAAAGCCAAAAATGGAGACCTCAGCAGAAACTGAATGTTCTTGCAGACTGACCTAATGCTTCTAGCCTCTAGACATGTGATGGAGTAACTATCTGGTGCTTAAGCCCCCAGATTGTGGCATTTTGCCATGCCGCCCAACAGAATAAAACGCCACCCTTGGCACACTTATTAACACATCAGTAATAGTCTCCTCCTCCTCCTCCTCCTCCTCCTCCTCCTCTTCCTCCTCCTCCTCTTTCCTCTTTTGGCAGCACGTCCCACACTTTACAAATATTCACTCTTGTCTGGGTCTCCCACCAGTCCGTGAACCTTATGGGGACCAAGATCTGCCTAGCTTCTTACCTCTGGCGCAGTGGCACCCGGTGTTCCAAATGTGTCATTCCATGTGACAGCCCAAAGGATGCAAGAAAATAAATCACTAGCTAACTCTGGACATAGCTATAGAAATAGCTCCCAACTTTTTGCAAAGTTTGCTGTTTCTCTGTTATTTCAATTGGAAGAATTGATTTGAAAGCATCTCCTAATTTGCTGTCTGTAAAGATGGCTTATAGCCTGCAAACAAAACGAACTCATTAGTAGATTATTCTGTGTGACGATCCAGAATAGTGTGATCTCTAAGCCTTCCAGGTGGTTCCATTTTCCTAACTACTTCCAGTGAGTCATTTGTGTATGCAAATTTTACAGAATCTTTGCAGCACTCTGGAATATCTGTTTACTTTCGCATCCACCTCATCAACCCTTCACATTGTTTAACTGAGACTCATCAAAGCTAATGACTTCTTCAAGGTCATTGATTTGCAAGAGATAGAAATGCTAGGACACAACTCTTCTATAGATGAGTCCAGAATTTGCTAGAAGGAAAGCATATGGAATTCAGAAGTCCTTGATCTAAATTACAGAAAGCTTGTCTCCCATTAAAATTGAATGCACACAAATATAAATATTTTACAGTGTTATATGGGAAAAGAAAGGATGATAGAGAAAGTCCACTATTTTTTTTACCAGCAACTTTAGGTATGTCCTTTAGGTATGTCCCAAAGTGTCAACTGTTCTTCTCTAACATCCTTTTAACATAAGTACATGACACTTCTGCTATATCAAACATCTGTCATCATACTTTACATGTTGATCTTTGGGAACTATAAATTGCCAAGCTCATTTGCAGTGTTCATCTCAACTGGATTTCAAGGGCACTTGCTCCATATGTCATCTGTAGAGAGCCAAGTCACTTATTTGCAGACATAGATGCCATCTTGATTGGCGGGTAGAAACTTGGGGTAAGATAAGGAAAGACAAATGTCCTTTCTATTTGATCTGTCACAACAAGCCACCAAAGGGTGACCCTTTCTTTCTTTATAAGCTTAGTCACTAAGCAGTTCTCAACCTGTGGGTCGGGACCCTTTTGTGGGTCACATATCAGATATCCTGCAAATCATATGTTTACATTATGATTTGTAACAGTAGCAAAATCACAGTTAGGAAGTAGACATGAAATCATTTTATGATTGGAGGTCACCACAACATGAGGAACTGTGTTAAAAGGTCATAGCATTAGGAAGGCTGAGAATCATTGGCTTAGTGCCTGAGCTAACCACTCAGGAGATAGCAGCAAGTCCCAAAGACCCATGACAGCATCAAGGTTTTTGGCTATCCATCTGCATGGAGGTAAGTTAGTTCAGTGCTAATTATCCCATCAGGTAAGACGAGAAGGCTTCCTCCTAACCAAATACCTCGCTCTTTCCCATAACTTGCTTCCTTGCTTCATCTCACAGTGAGTCCTGGGGAGCAGCTGTCAAGTATCAAAACTCAGTTACAGGAGACACTCTCTTGGTGTGACTGAGTCCACAGATAGGAACACTGGAGACGTGCAGGCCAGATTTCCCAATTGTGGTCAAGTCTGAGGAGCAAAGCAGAGACATAATCAACAATAGTAGGGGACAAAATGAGAGGAGATGGTGAAGAAGACAATCTTTGCCAAAAACCAGCACATTGCCAAGCACATTTTCAACATGGCGGCTTATGAACTGTTAAGTGTAGGCTCACCCAACCCTGTTCCAGCCTCACCTCTTTGATCACACCATCACTGATGGGTGATCTCATATGGGTAGAAGAGTGCCACCCTCTTAGCCTGACTCTAATGGCCTCAGTGTTTTTGTGACTCCTGAATATATTCTGTAGCCCTGGCTTCCTCTGAGTTGGAGAGTCATTTATTCAACGGCAGCATCTCTGCTTACATCTCTTGGAGACATGGAGACAGTTTTAAACTCAACATTTCCAAGTAGAAGATCAGCATTTCCTGTTCTGCTTCCAAAAATCTGTCCCTCTTCAAACCCAGTAAAAGGAACCCCAATGCACACATCCAATCTTTCTCTCACTGCCCCCTGGTCTTTTCATGCACACATCCAATTTGTCTCCTAGACCCATCAGCACATTCTCCAAAGGACATCATGAGCTGTGTGATTTATGTCCATCTCTCTGGTTACTCTCCTAATCCTGACCATCGTTATATCTCCCTAGACTATAATAAACAAGTCGAATAGGTCTCCCTGCTCCCATTCCTGCCTTCCTGTGATCCATTTTCCACCAAGCAGCCAGGCTGATATTTTAAAACAAAACTCAAATCCTCTCTCTCTCTCTCTCTCTCTCTCTCTCTCTCTCTCTCTCTCTCTCTCTCTCTCTCTCACACACACACACACACACACACACACACACACACACAAATCCCAAAGGCTTCTCACAACCTCACAACACTCAGAATCCATACTTCTTGTTCTGTCTTTGTATCATCTAAGCTCCGACATCTCACTCTAGGCATGTTCGCCTCCTTTCCAGCTCTATCACTATACTTTGTTTTTAATTGGTGTTCCCTCTACCAAGAATACTGATGCCTCTAGCTTTCAGCTACTCAATTCCTTGTCAGCCTTAAAGGTCTTGATATAAATGTTAGCTGCTCAGAAAGGTGCTCCTTGGCCACCTTGATGACACTACCATCCTGAATCACCCTGAATCATTAGACTTGGTTCCTTCACAGAACTTCATCACAATATGACATGACACTATCCTCAGGGACTAGAAGAGGACTGGGCTGGTGATATGCTAGGTGTTCAACAGATAATTGTTAAATAAATGCCTAAGTTAGTCTACTAGTGATCCTAGTGATCGTCCCTCTTATAAAATGAAGTAAGTTTAAAAGAGACATTCAAGCAACTCTGAGAACAGTAGAGTAACATTTGGGGCACATGCAAGGCTCTGAATGGGCTGTCTTTTTGTCTTTATCATATTTAATAATTCCACGCAATATAAAAACCCTTATCCAGCAGATTTCATGAAAGGGTTGGCACATACACATCCTTGAGAGAAATTCAGCACCAGTCTGAGTTGGGAGATAATTATTTGTTTCCACTATAACCAATTACTACAAGCTTGTAGACTTAAAAAAAAAACACAAATTTATCATTTGGGAATTCTGGAGACCAAAATTCTAGACACGGGTCTTATGGGCTAAGCCCAAGGTGTCCACAAGACTACCTATGTTCTTTGGTGAAGGCACAGGGAGCATTTGGCGTCTTGTCTTTTTTTCAGCTTTTCAATGCCACCCGTGCATCCCTTGCCTAGACCATCCTGCATCCCCAAAGCACTTCACTCAGACTGCATCTCTCAGACTGTCTCTTCTCAGACTTTGACCCAGTCTCCCTCTTATAAAAACCCTTGGGATTACCATAGGCCCATCCATATAATCAAGGATCATCCTCCAACTTCAGGTCCTTAATCACACATCAAAGTCTCCCTTTTAGTATATAATGGCAATGCTTTATAGTCTCAAAAAAAGTACTGAGAAATCCAAGAAGCTATTGTTTATTTGAATTATAACTATCATTTTTTACCATGTTAGAAA